TACAAATGTTTTCCAAGTTATATACCAAAAATCACATAATGCTGTATCATAGAATATTGTTTTTAATGTTGTGTCACTTGCCAGCTTAGTTAAGTTCTCATCCGATTTTGTTAGCAGCAAAAAATTGGAAATCACCTGACTTGGACAAATATTTGTTGCTCAGTCTTTAGAGTTATTTTGTTGCTTAACTTTTGGGAAGTACACTGTCAGTCCGTTTAGGCTGCTATAATAAAATGCCATAAACTGAGTATTTTATAAACAAATGAGTTTTTTTTTTTTTTTTTCTTCTCATAGTTCTATAGGTTGGGAAATCCAAGATTAAGGCAAGCCCAAGTGTCTGGTCAGGACGTGCATTCTAGTTCATAAATGGCGCCATCTAGCTATGTCCTCACATGGTGGAAGAGGCAAACTAGCTCTTTGGGGGTCTCTTTTATAAGAGCACAAATCCCTTTCATGGGGGCACCACGCTCATGACCTAATCACCTCCCAAAGACCCTACCACCTTCTAATACCATCACCTTGGGAATTGGGATTTTAAAACATATACATTTGGGGGAAACACAAACGTTCGGACCATTGCATACACCAAAAACGACGTTATTAAGATTTTCAAATGATAATTGGATATCTCTTTCACTGAGAGGTGTCTGGAAGATTCGGGGAAATGAAAATATTGTTAATTTCAATATATCTTGGCCATTAGAATAGAAAATGATTTTCTGTTTTGTGCTTCAAATATACTTCTGTCAAAATCTTGGAGCTACAAATTTAGCTCCTCTATAAAACATAATGGGCAAAGGTAGTCTTTTTTGTCAAATTAATCATCCAAATCCGACTTACTTTCCATCAAAAAAAAAATAAAAGAGTCTGATTATGCTTTCCAATTTGAATAGATGTGTTCATTTGAATAGATGTGTTCATGAATAGATGTGTTCATCCCTGAGACAACCATCGCTGAAGTCATGACCCGTGGAACTGAACTCACATAGCTCATATAAGTTGATATTGTTTCCAAACATACCACTTCGAAAAGATGCAAGTGTCTTGCCCTGGACTTAATAATATTGATCGTGGGTGGGAGATTGTGTTATTTGTTCACAATTATTAATTCCCTCACCTTTGCCATCCCTCCCCAAAGACAGAGTACATTTCCCCACCCCACTGACTTTGAACTTGGCCGTGGGATTTGCTTTGGCTAGTAGAAGGTGAGGGGAAGCATGCCGTACCTGAGCGGAAGCTTTTAGAGGCACTGCAAGTTCCCAGCAGTGCTCTTGGCTTCTGCTGTCTGCCGGGAGAACAGCACGTCCTCAAAATCATCTGCCTTCTCGATCTGGGTGAAGCTGACCCACAGTTGAGAACGAGCAGAATATGAAGCTGCCCACTGTCTGCCCACTGTCTATCTGCAGCCTGGAGCAGAGCTGCCAAGCCGTAGACTCCCAACTGACTTGCAGCACTCACATAAATATCTGTTGTTGGAAGTCTAATCTAGGGAAAGCTGACCAATACTCTCTTAATGACAAAATTCAGGACCCGTGTTTTTTGTAAACAACCAAAGCTTGTTTACAAATAATCCGGTGGTCCCAAGTTAAAGTGTGGAAATGGCTGATAAGACTGTCCTTGTGACCAGTCATTGGAGGAACCCTGTCCATTGGCATACTTATGCACCATAGCCAAGTGCAAATAAACTCAAGTGAGAGTATCAAAAGTCCAAGAAAATCTAGGCACCAGATGCATTCCTCTTCGCATTTCACAATCTCATCAGTAACATTTTCTTAGCTACAGATATCAGCCATAAACTGAGCTGGGAAGGATTGGATTCATTAGTCTGAAGTACACTTTTTATTTACTACAATTTAAAAATGCTTTTTATTTTAAATTGTTTGACTCGCAAGGAATAAAAAAATTAGTACACACAGTTTCCATATATCATTCTCCAGACACCCCCATTAACTGCAAATCGAAACTGTGGTCAAATTAATGAAACACACCAAATGTTAGAACTTTTGTACCAAAAAGTAGACTCCTACTACCTCAGTTTTAAGATTAAAATTATGTTAAATGATTCAGGTGGGGCTAAAAGTTGCATCACATAATTACGTACTATTATAACCAAATATTCCAGGCCAGGCACAGTGGCTCACGTCTGTAACCCCAGCACTCTGGGGGGTTGAGATGGGAGGATCGCTTGAGGCCAGGAGTTCGAGACCAGCCTTGGCAACATAGTGAGACCCTGTCTCTACAAAAAATAAAAAAAATTAGCTGGGCATGGTGAAGTGCCCCTGCAGTCCTATGTACTCTGGAGGCTGAGGCAGGAGAATCCCTTGAGCTCAAGAGTTCCAGGCTGCAGTGAGCTATGTTTTTGCCACTGCACTCCAGCCTGGGCAACAGAGGGAGATCCTGTTTCAAAAAACAAAAACACAAACACACACAGATCCAGCCAGTGGGAGTAGACATTGGACTGTGCATGCACTCTCTTTCCTAAGCGTGGGTCTATGTCTACGCTCTATTCTCCTGTTCTGTTTTTCTGTCCTCATGCCAATAGTTAATGATTACCCAAGTATGATACCTTTGTCATTCTGGAGGTCTGATAGCAATTCCCCCCTTTTTAGAGAGGTTTCTTAACTATTCTTGGCTTGAATTTTAGGTTTGTCAAATAAAATTCCTGTTGGGATTTTAACTGGAATTGAATTTATGGATTAAGAGAAATATTTTAATAATGTCTCCCTTTCCTAGCCACGAATGTGGTATAATATCTCCATATGTTTAGTTTTCTTTTGCTGTTTTTGTGGCACTTTAGCCTCTAGTATTCCTGAACTATCTTGGCATCTTTCTCAAAAATCTTAATACCTTCTTTTTCATTCAGTGGTAATTTTGACTGGCTTCCACTGCTGCCTGGAAAATTATTACTTAGCCTTTAAGTCTCAGCTCCAATGCTACCTCCTCTGTGAGGCTTTCTCTAGCCACTGCAGTCAGTCTTGGCGGATGGTTTTGCTAAGCTCTCTGCTACCCAGAGTAATTTGCATGTAATTGCAAGAGCAAATATTTACTGATAGCTGGCCATATATCAAAGGACTGTGTTAAGCACTCTCTGAGCATGAACACATGAAATCTTCAAAACAGCTGTTGGATATCAAAGTTGGTGCTCTTTTCTCCGTTTATGAGAGAATAAGCTCAGAGAGGGCAACTTGCCTCTCTGAGGCACACAGACAGGACGAGACAGGGCAGGCTAGAAACCCGGGCAGTCTAAGCACCACTGTCCATGCTTTCTCGTACCCACTCTGGAGCAGCTGTAGTATTAACTGAAAACATTTACTCCCTCTCATCCATGCATCCAAGAGAAAAAGTTTTGAGTGCATGCCCTGGATCAGGCACCAGAAAAGGTGCTGGCTGGGCATACAGTGACCAAGAAAACAGATATGGCAGGCCGGGCGTGGTGGCTCACGCCTGTAATTCTAGCACTTCTGGGAAGCCGAGGCGGGCGGTTTGCTCGAGGTCGGGAGTTCAAAACCAGCCTGAGCCAGACCTCGTCTCTACTAAAAATAGAAAGAAATTAATTGACCAACTAAAAATATATATATACAAAAAATTAGCCGGGCATGGTGGCGCATGCCTGTAGTCCCAGCTACTCAGGAGGCTGAGGCAGGAGGATTGCTTGAGTCCAGGAGATTGAGGTTGCTGTGAGCTAGGCTGATGCCACGGCACTCACTCTAGCCTGGGCAACAAAGTGAGACTCTGTCTCAAAAAATATATATATATGAAATAAAAATCACGAATACTATGTATTGTACCTTATATGCAAAATAGCTAAAAGAGTGTATTTCAAATGTTCTCCCCACAAAGAAATGATAAATGTTTGAGGTGATGAATATGCTCATTAGGCTAATGTGATCACATGGCAATGTATACATATATTTAAAAAATCGCATTGCACCACTGTGATTATTATGTGTATCAAAAAGTCACATAAATATAGACAATTATTGCCAATTAAAAAATGAAATAAAATTTTATACCAACTTGAAGGCATTTAAGAGAAGGAATAACATTTTAAACTAAATAACATCCATAAATATAGAGGCACCGATTGTGCTAAACGGCCTGGGGGAAAGAGGGAGGGGTGAGCCCAGGATGACATAAATGAGAATTACAGAAGGGAGAATTACATGGGGGGGGGGGGCAACTGCAGGAGGCGTTTAGGAGAATGTGCGTCCCTGGGTGCAAGTCACAGCAAGAGTCATGAACTTGATGATTCAGGCTGTGCTGAGTCTTAGGGCCTGTGAAAAGTTTGGAAATACGGAAATCCGAGAGTCAGGCGGCATCCGGGTGGTTGAAGATAGAGAGTGGCAATCGCTAAGAGGCAGGCTGTGGTTAAACCACAAGCATGGATAAGGCCCCCCAAAGGAAGATGCAGAACGAGAGAAGACGACAGGCAGAGAGGAGGGCTGAAAGAAGGACGTAATAGAGGTGGTGGTGTCTTTGCACCCTCGCGTCTCCAACACAGGGCTCATCGGAGAACACTTGCTCAGTACGTTTGTGGGCTGGCGAGCCGAATGCATGGTGGAGGGACGAATAAATGAGCAACTCTCTCAGCGAAGCTTTGGTTTCTGTCCCTTCCTCTCTAGACCCCCGTCTCCCTCTGCAAAATGGCAACAGTGACCGGGGTGGGAAGGGCAGCGGCGGGCGCGGGGGCTCGGGCGGCCCCTGCACGCAGCGCACGCCCTGGCCGGCGGCGCGTCCGCGGGCTGCGCGGTGTCCGCTGGAGGGCGAAAGCCGTCCGGGCTGCGGCGCACGGTGGCCTCGGCTCCCCAGCCGGGTGGGAGAGGGCGCGCTGGGGGCAGGGGTCCTGGGCCTAGAGCCCGGCGAAGGCGGCGAGGCAGCCAGGAGGGACTGCGGGAAGCAGGGCCCCGCGGTGCGGCGGGCGCTGGGAGACCCCTCCCGGACAGGTGTGTCAGGGGCGGGAGTAATGCGGTGGAAGGGCGAGAAACGTGGGCGATAGATCTGGTAGACCCAGGGGCCGGCGGAGACCTTCATCCGGGAACCCTAGAACCCAGGAAAGAGCAGGTGCGGACCTGAGAGAGGACCGCACGCCAAAGCGGGCAGAATGAACGACGGAAAACAGCGCGCTTGGCAGCCCCGGGTGCGCCTCTGTCCAACGCCGCGCGGGAAGGGCTGGGAGAGTCGCGAGGTGCCAGGACTCTCCTGCCCCTAGAGGGCTGGCCCGGAGCGCTGGGTCCGAAGACGCCTCCCGCCGCCACCGGGTGGCAGAGTTGGGGGCAGGCTCGCCCCACCGACCCCGAGGGGTGGCCCCGCCCCGGGGCTGCTGGGAGGCCCCACCGAGCGGGGCGGAGTTGTCGCCGCCCCCCCTCCAATCCTGGGTGACTGCGGCCCCTTCTTAAGCCCGCAGAGCCTCCAGCTGCCCCTCACTGGACTCTCCTGCTAGTCTCCCTCCCCCACGATGGCCTCGGCGCTGAGCTACGTCTCCAAGTTCAAGTCCTTCGTGATCTTGTTCGCCACCCCGCTCCTGCTGCTGCCACTCATCATTCTGATACCCGCCAAGGTCAGTTGCATCTCCAGGCAGCCCCGCGGACCGCGGGCGCCCGTTGCCTTCTAACAGGCACGAACTCGGGTGCGCTGGGCTGGAACGCGGCGATTCCCTGGCGGGCGCGCGCACTCGGGAGCTCGAGGTGCCGGACGGGAGGTGCCCTGCGAAGAATCCGAGGGGCATGGCGACCCCGAGGCGCACCGATCTTTGGGTTCACAGATCCCGGGGCACAACAGCCGTCCGGGCAAGCACGGAAACCTAGTAGTGAGCACACAGACCCCAGCCATAGGCTCAGCCCTGGCTCAGGATTTCCAGAGTGAATAACCGCGTTTCTCCCTCAAATGCCACCCGCCGGGGTGCTTGACCTTCCCTCCCTCCAACCCCTCTCTCCCCTCTACCAGTTGAGACCAAGCTGCAGGTGGCTTTTGACGTCAGTCAGGGGCCTATGTGGAAAGATCGGCCCCCCAGCGGACCCTGCGTGCTCTCTTTGCCACTCTCTGGCCCTTCTTTGGGCATTAGTTTCCCGATTTATGATCCATATTTCTTTCCAGCTCTTAAACAGGGCAGCCCCATGTGAGCCAAAACCCTGCTCCAGGCTGAAAGGCAGGTTGGGGTTGGGCAGCTTTGCCCGCTGCCTGCGGTGGCCGTGGCAGGAGGCGCGACACATTCCCAGAGCTCACGCCTTGGGTGGCACAGCTTGGGGCTGCAGCAGAAGCCTCGTCCCATGCCCTGGCCTCCTAATGCTCCTGGGAGGGAGAGAGAGAATGAATGGCTTTGGCCGCAGGCTGGGGGCAGGGCCAGGCGCCCTGGCCCAGGCTCCACTGGGCTGTGCACAGCCAGTTTGGCAGAGGCCCGAGCTCTTTGAAGCCTTTTGTGGCTGCTGGCTGCTCCTTCCTCATTCCCTCTTTCGGCCCTTTCACTCTCAGCCCAGACAGGAAACCTCAGGCTCTCGCCTCTCCTCCCCAGGCAGGTTTGGGAAACAGAGGAGCTCTTCAGGGCATGCTCTGGGGGCAGCCCTGGGGGAAGGAGGGTGCACTGGGGTGACAACCTGCAAGAGAACCGGACTTCCATCGTGCACTCATCCTTGTGACTTTAGCTGAGTCCCTGTTCTCATCTGTACAATGTTCTCATCTGTACAATGGGGCAAGGTTGTTTGGTTCTGACACTTTAAGACTTTGGGTATGAGAAGGGAGTGTGTTGGTTCCTAGGATGGGGGAGGGGAGACTAGGGAGAGCCCACCCTTGAGGTGGGCTGAGCACAGGCCCTGGATGGGCCAAGGACAGCAGATCCAAGCGTGGTGGCTCTTCAGTTGCCACAACAAGTGTAAGCAGCCATGTGTCCTCTGTAGAAAGAGCTCTGGGGCTGCAACGCCCGTGGGAGGGAGCCAGGCAGGAGAGCTGTGATTTGAGTTCTGCTGGCAGCCAGTGATGTTCCCTCGAATAATTATAGTAGCTCGGCTGACCTTCCCGCTGCAGGAGAGACCCTGCTCTCACTCTGACACGCACAGGTGGGCCCTGAGCTGGGACCCCCACTCAGGATGTGTGTGTGTGTGTGTGTGTGTGTGTGTGTGTGTGTGTGTTTGAGTGAGCTGTCCTGGGAGTGAGGACCCAGAGGGAAGAGCTGACCCTGGAGAGAGCCTTTCCCAAGGTTGCTGTCACACGCTCTCTCGCTCCTACTGGAGGCAACTGGGAGCCCAGACCCCATGTTCTTGTTTTCTCGCTTTGTGCCTTTGTTTTGGTCACCTCCGAGGAGCTCCCTGCCCCCACCCTTCACGCCCACCCCACTGTGCAAGAAAATCCAGAGGTAAACAGCATGGGCTGGGAAGCCAGCTGGACTTTGGCAGCCTGAGTGGCATTGTCCCTGCCAGGCGGTGACATCCAGGTCACTCGGCCCTCTGCCCGTGCCCCGGCCCCTCTCCTCACCTCTATCTTCTTTTCTTCCCCCTCTCCACCTTGGCTCCATCCTGGCCTCATCTCTGCTCCACTTTCTTTACCCTTTCTCTGAGTCTTATTAAAAAAAAAAAATCGCTACAATGAATGATTAATTTATTGTATTGCTTATTTTATTTAAAATGTTAAAAGAAATATTTTTTAAACAAATCTGTAAAAAATTTTTTACTTTTGGCACCTTCAGGAATTTTGGAACAAATTGTAAAATTTAAAGCAAAAATGATAATGCTTTCAACTCTCTTAGCATTAATATTTTGATAGACATCAATCCAGAAACCAGTCAATTAATCTCTTGTCTCTCTGTACACATGCACTCTGTCTGTCTGTCTGTCTGTCTGTCTCTCTCTCTCACACACACACACACAAAGAGTATGTTTGTCTGCAGTTTTGCATTAAGCAACATGTTGGAGCCACCCTTCCTTGTTAATAATTATATAAATAATGAGCCATGGTTTTATTTGGTTGTGAATTTATTCACATGTGTGTTCCGTTGTGCGCAGATATTTATTGAGCCCATTATGCCCTGTGCCGGGCACTGACGATTGAAATCCCACTGTCCGCTTGGATCTCAGCTTTCGTCACTTCTCTGGCCACTTTCTCAGCTGCAGGGAAGTGCTCCGAAGTGTGCACGAGAAACCAGGCCCCTCCCTGCAGGTAGAGCCTGTCTCATTCCTCCCTGTTACCAGCTCCTCCCCAGACTTTTCGACTATCCTCCTTCCTGCTCTGCCCTTTCCACTGACTCCTGACTCTCTCCATCGAGGAAGGGCCAAGTGCGTTGACGGGTGATATTCAGGAGCAAGCACCTCCTGGGCTTCCAAATGGTGGTGCGGAGGTGAGGGGCAGCTAGTGTACTGTCGTCTCTTTTCTAATTGTTAGGTCTGGCCCCTACAGGAACACGCACAGTGAGAACTGGCTAGCATGCCACCTACTGCTTCTGAGTTTACAGAATAAAAAATTACGGAGGACTTTGTGTGCCATAGGTTAAGAACGGGCACTCTCTCGAGCCCTCTATTCCCAGAGGAGGACATGAAACCGGAGGGGCCAAGCCTGGCCCCTCGCCCTCCGGTAATTTATTAATGACATTGTTTGCGGTTGCTATCACATGATGACAATAAGAAGCAAACTGACTTTTAGCTGGTATTATTGTTTTAAAATTCTCTACCATACACCTCTTATTGCAGGCCCTTAGAGGAGATCCCTCCCCTTGCCTGTCCCCTGGTGCACCCTGACACCAAAGCTTAGAGAAGTTAGTGACCTCCAAGGGGCTGGACAATGGCAGACAGTGGACAAGGATCAAGACTCCCTCGTGTCTGAGCCTGGGCTTCCCACCACACTGCTGTCCTGCCTTTAGTTCAGTGGCTCTTAACCAGGGTGAGTCCTTTCTGCCCCACCCCCCCACCACACAGCAGGGGACCCTTTGGCAAAGTCTGGAGACTCTTTTGTTGTTGTCACATCTGGAGAGAGTACTACTGGCTTCTCATGGGTGGAGCCAGGGATGCTGTCAAACCACCTACAACACACAGAATGAGCTCCCCAACAAGGACTCATTCAACACACAGTGCCAATGTGCTTAGCTTGAGAAACCTGCTGCAGACAGCAGGGAGGGGCGCTGGGTTGCTCATGGGATGCTGAAGAAAGATTTCTTTCTTTCTTGTGGCTGATAACACAAGCCAGACAAGGAATTTCTGAGTCTTTCTGCAGTGCTTTGTGCATACGAGATGTTCTCTTTTGGGTGATGATGAACAGCTGAGAGCGGCAGAGGTACATATTTCTTCCGCAGCCTTGTCAAAGCTCGACTCAGATGAATACTGTTGACTCCTTTAATAAGCATTTGCCGCCATCTCCTAAGTGTTAGGCGTGTTCTGGAAGCTGAGGGGCAGAGTGAATCCACAAATACAGCAGGTCCTTGAATAACTCGTTTCATTCAATGTCGTTTCATGATAACGTTGATGAGAACAATCGATTCTCAGCCAATGTCTGTGTAGGGTTTTCCTGTTGTCCCTATGTGTGCATCTTTTGATGGGGCAGCATCGTGGCCAGGGCGGGTTCCCAACTTTTTCTCTAAATTGCCAGGATAGGCTCTGGCCACTTGAGACCCCGAGCTGGAATAAGTGGGTAAATAACTACCTTGCTTGCTTGCTTTTATTCATCTTTCTTCAATGTATGTATCGCTCCCATTTATTTTAACGTGTAATATTGTGAGTGTTTTAGTCTTGTTTAGAAGTTTGGTGACGTTTTTGTGATCAGAAATGTGCTGTAGGAACTTGAGTCTTGTTTATGTCAATTAGCCTGGGGCCAAATTGGTTTCGTGATAGATCATTTCGCCTGTAAGTTATAGTTTCTGAGAGGACCCGTCTACAGCATTGAGTGAGAACTTTTGTACAGTTTGCGCCCTCAAGTTGCTCAGTTTGGTGGTGGCGGTGGGGAGAGAGTTAGGAAACAGTGACAATCCCGTGTGCTAATTGCTGGGGGGAACTGCTGGGGTGCTTGGAGGAAGGACAAGCCAGAGCATGGAGGAGGGGGTGGGGGGAGGCATCCAAGAAGGAACTGTGAGCTGAACTTTTAGTGCTCACGTGCTCACCCCAGGCCCAGGGGCAGGTAAGAGAAGGAGGCTATGAGAGGAACAGCATCTGCCTCTAACGTGCTTTGGGGTAGCTGGCACCGGGGGTGCGAATGGAGGTGTGGCTGGAGGGGTCCGTGGTCCTGGCCCATCACGGAGGGTCCTGTGAGTCCTCCTATGGGCTTTGTACCGAAGGCAACGGGAGGCTTTTAAACAAAGGCGGTGATGTGATCAGATTTGCCAAAGAGAGAGAGAGCAAGGACAGTGTGAGTTGTAATAGGAAGATCGAATGAGAAGAGAGTTGCTGAGATCCAGGCAAGAGACGTGGCCTGAGCAGGGGCGGTGGCCATGGGGATGTAGGGGGGTGGGGGGAAGAGGAGCGAAGCCATAGGTCTTCTTGGAGACCGATTTAATTGGAGGGGACTGGAATGGGGGAGAGGGTGGCGTCTGGGTAATTAATAAGGATTATAAGAACAACACTGATGAAACATCAAACCACCTAGGGAGGTGGGTATTTTTATCCACATTTTAAGAGGTGACAGAATGGAGGGCCAAAGAGGTTAAATCACTTACCCAAAGTCCCACAGGGAGTGAGGGGCCAGGACGGCAAGTGAAGGACCCAGCCCTGTCTCACCCCAAAGCCAAGATCCCTCTGGCTAAGTGGCCAAAGGCTGGGAATCAACTATTCACATAAATTTAAATACAAATAGTACAGCTTGGGACCGTAGTAATTAGAGAAGTGCCAGTGAAAACACCAATCTCTATCTTCCCAATTGTAATTTAAAAAACCAACCAACCTTGAAAACACTGGGTGCTGATGGATGTCCTGGATGAGCTGGTGGACGCCTTCATGCCCCGCTGGACAGGTTCATTCCTGGAAGCAGAAAGAGTCGAGCAATCCTTTGAGAAAGGAATAGGGAAGAGGTAGTGGGCGTTCCAGGAAGGGCTTCTGGGAGCCTGTCCTAAGGATGGATTTAAACATAGGTGAGCCAGATAAAGCAGGGTGGTCAAAGCACCCTCGTGGGGTGGAGAAGAAACCACGATTATCCAGCCACAAAAAGGCAAGGGAAAGGTGAAACGATCCTTCAAACTTATGGAACACTTGCAGTTTTAAAAACGATCAATGTGAAGGTTACGTAGCCCTGTGAAAAAGCGACAGTCCTAGAATGTGGAGGGAAAGAAGTAGGGTTGAAAGGAGAAAATTGCACCTAGTACGCAGAATGGAGAATCGTACGCACTTTGTACAATGATTTTAATTCTTAGACTGTGTCATTAAAAATTGTATTTTCTTCTTTTCTTGCTTCTCTTCCTCCTTTCTTTTTCCTCGTCCTCCTCCTCTTCCTCTTCCTCCTTTTCCTTTTCCTTCCTTTACCTTTTCTTCCTATTCTTTTGAGAGGTGACTAGTCCAAGGTTTGGAAAGATAAAGGAACTTGCCTGGAACCACACAGCCAGGAGGCGTGTGTATGTGTGTGTGTGTGTGTGTGTGTGTAAAAGTCTTTGGTGACAGATCCTTCACGCTCCTCACTGTCTTATCCCTGGCACGCTGTACTGACCAGGGGCGGGGAACAGGATGACTCTGACAGGGGCTTCACTCTGCTGACACTGCTGTCTTCCGACCACCCCTCCCAGCAGCTGTCCAGAGCATTCTGGGGGTGGGGAGAGTGGGGCAGACACATGCAGAGGGCTCAGCCTGTCTCTTCAGTTTGCCAGGTGTGCCTATGTCATCCTCCTCATGGCCATTTACTGGTGCACAGAAGTCATCCCTCTGGCTGTCACCTCCCTCCTGCCTGTCTTGCTTTTCCCACTCTTCCGGATCCTGGACACCAAGGAGGTGAGCAGCCCCAGGGGATCCTGGGTCCTTTGGGTTCTCGAGTTGCCCCATTCTCTAAGCTCCTCCGAGCTGCCTAGGCCCGGGGCAGGCAGATAAGCCCCATCTGTGGAGTCTGCCTGGCAGGGAGACAGAGCCACCCCGAGCCTGCATTCCCTCCCCTGCCCGCCCTCCCCAACTCCCGAGCTGTCCCTGAAGTCAGCATCTGGCCTGCTTGCCTGTCGCTGGGGACTTGGGTGGCCCTGTGCCCTGACAGAGCTTCCATGCCACCCTCCAGGTGTGTATCCAGTACATGAAGGACACCAACATGCTGTTCATGGGTGGCCTCATGGTGGCCGTGGCTGTGGAGCACTGGAACCTGCACAAGAGGATCGCCCTGCAGACCCTCCTCCGGGTGGGGGCCAAGCCTGCACAGTAATGGCATCTCTTTCTCTCGCATAACGGGGCTCTGCGGGGGCCCAGGGCTGGGGAGGGGAGGGTGGCACACACCAGGCTGGCCCCTGGGTGGGGCATGTTACATGGGACCGTCTTAGCTGGGGAGACCAGATGCGTGGGGGGGGTGTGGCAGCGTGTGAGGAGCAGCAGTAGGTGAGGACTCTCTGAACCCAGAGGGGACTGGTCAGCAAGATCCGTGCAGGTTTGGAAGACCTCCTGGGGGAGGCAGCTGCAGGGCTCCTCAGGGAGCAAAGTTGGATGGAGGCTGGATCAAACCATGCCTGAAGGGGATTGTGGGGAAAACAGGCCAGAGGTAGCACAACTCCTCCAGCTCAGAAGAAGCAAGAAGGTTCTCTCTCCAGTACTGAGAGCAGCTTCTCACTCATCTTCCCCCACATCACTCAGTACTCGGCTTCTCCCCTCTTCTCCAAGATCTCCCCACCAGTTGGCAGGCCGGCCATTTCCAGGCAGCCCATGGAGCCGATATAATCATAGTCACAATCATCCTGGGGACATTGAGTGTCCACAACCCCAGTCATGATCCTGGGGGCTTATTTATCACCTCGTTTAATCTGCACCGAACTCTGAGAGCCGGGTGTTATTCTTACCACCCACATGAGAGCCGGGTGTTATTCTTACCACCCACATGCTATAGGTGAATTCGAGACAGAGAGGGGTGAAATGATTTGCTAATGGTCACATGGGGATTGGACACCCAGCTTCTCTGATAAGGCCTGTGTCCTCTCTAATCAGGAACTCGGGGTACATCTTTCATGGAGACAATGTGCTCCCTAAAGCATGGTGTGTCCCTAGCCCGGCCCTTGGTAGGCAGCAGCTGGTTATTTCACAGTAAATTCCTCCCGAGACGTCTGTGTGTCAGGGACTGTGCCCGCCCTCCTGGTGACTACACCTGGGGCTCCCTGGGTGCCTCTGGCTCCCCCGCACAGAGGATGTTGTGGCTCTGTGATGTCTGTCACCCTTGGTGGCATTGGTCCCCTCTAGCCACTGGCTTATAAGGTCAAATCAAAAGCCATTGCACTTTCTGGAACTCGGACTCCTGGCTTCAAGGGATCCTCCCACTTCCGCCTCCCAAAGTGCTAGGATTACAGGTGGGAGCCACCATGCTGGCCACACCATTGTATTTTCTAGAAATGTGAGATCTGAGGAACATGGACCTCAGAGCCCTCAGAATTCCTGTTCCCAGCCCCTCTGAGTGGCCAACTTTTCTCCAGCAGCGGGTGGGAGGCCCCCACAGTGGGCGTCATTCTGCCGTGTGCTGAAGAGCTTGTGCTCATCAATCCAAGGACTGCGCACGTGCTTCTCTGCCCCTTCCTGTGGCCCGGCTCCTCCTGTGAGCTTGGCTTCCAGCTGTCCATGGTGCTGCCTGTCCTGGGGGCGACCTGTACGTGAGGCTCCCTTGGTGCCTTAAAGCATCATGTAGAAGCCATGGCTCTTCTAAGACAACTCGCATCCACGCAAACTCTCAGCCTCCTCCTAACCTGGGTTCTGGCCTTTGTTTCTATCGGTCCATGAGCTCAACTTGTATGGACACCAGCCTGAGCCCTGGTGCAGTGCAGCCACTGGGTCCCTTTTTCAGGGAGGCAAATTCGCATCTTCGAGGAGGAGCCAGACTGCAGAAGGGCACGGCCACCCTGAGCCCCCATGCTCCCTCTGTCCCTGGCCCTGTACAGCTGGGGTGTGTGGAGCCAAGGACAAGAGTCAGGCCTAAGGAGAGAGCAGACATGGAAACAGCTGCCTGGAGTCCAGCACAGTGATGGGTGTGGGGGCAGATGGAGAAAGGCGTGGCCAGCCCCACCTGGTACGCACTGCGAGGCCCCAGAGCAGGGACGTGTCTGAGCAGGCTGTGAAGGACCAGGAGGAGCTTTCCAGGCGGATGGCAGGGGAGGGAACAGAGCTTAGAAGCAAAGGGAACGTATTTTCTGAATGCTGTTTGTTGGATGGGTGCACCGCCAAGTGGAGGGGGGCGAAGTGTGTGAGTGGGGAGATAGGGCGGCAGGGGGAGCCAGGAAGAAGGTGACACGCTCCCAAGCTCCCTCCCCAGCTGCCCCCTACCCTGCAGGCTGACTGGCTTAGCCCCTCTGAACTTTTCAGTGGCATCTTCCAGCTGGAAGTGGAAGCTGGAGCTATCTGCACATAGGGTCACTCCAGGTCACCCCAGGTCATACATACTAGGATAAACTGCCTATTAAGTTGGCACCATCTGGATGCCCTTGCTTCCCCTGCTAGACGGAGAGCTCTTTAGAACCATGACTGGGTCCAGGGCTTCTTGGTGGCCCCAGCAGCCAGCAGAGTAGACATCAGCGATGTGTGTGGGAGGGAGGAAGGAGGGAAGGAAAGAGAAGGAAAGGAGGGAGGGACGGAAGGCACCCAGACTCTAATCCCCTGTTAGAATACTCAGTCTCTCATTGGCCTCCGCTTCTCCCTGCTGCTCCCCGGGAGTGCAGGGCTGCAGCGGACTCTCCGGCTTCCCTCCCTGCCCCTCTGCAGGCTGATGCTGGGCTTCATGGCCGTCACTGCCTTCCTGTCCATGTGGATCAGCAACACGGCCACCACAGCCATGATGGTGCCCATCGTGGAGGCCATACTGCAGCAGATGGAAGCCACCAACACAGCCACCAAGGCCAGCTTGGGGGCACTGGAGCTGGTGGAAAAGGGCAAGGCCAGCGAGTTGTCAGGTGAGCCCCGTCCCGGGGCTGCCGGGGCCACAACGGCAGACTCCCCTCTGTTGCCACCTCCTCCTCCCTCCCTGCTTCCTGGAGCCCTGCTTTAAACATGCATGGGGGGAAAATTAGATAATACTGTTTTTATAAGTTTTAGGAATAGGATTACGGCATAAAAGTTAGATCCTTTAGTAGAGCTTAGAACGAAGTCCCACCCTTGGTCCCTGCTAGACTTACAAATCAGTGTGTTCATTGATTATTCATTTGGGCATCTTTTGAGCACCTACTGGGTGCCCCTCACCTCTCGCTATTCCTGCTTATCCTCAGGGAGGCCTTATCTGACCTCCTCGAGCTGGCCAGATCCCTCTGCTTCCACAGGCCTTGGGGTTGGTGTCCTACATGTTTCCCGGCTAGGCGCGAGATCAGGGAAGGCAAGGCGGCACCTGCCTTGTTCTCACCATCCCCAGAGCCCAGCACAGGGGACTCAGGGCCCGGCCTGATTGCCAGACCCTGGGCGAGGTCCCAGGGCTACAGAGAGGAACCAGGCACACCCCCGCGGCGGACTCTCACGGAGCCCAGTGGGGCAGCAGTGGGGCTCCTGACTTGGGGGTGCCATAAGCCAGACTGAGGGAACCTGGAAAAGGGAGCGACCTTGCCAGGAGGGGAGGGCATTTGAGGTGCATGTGGACGCCCCCCAGATGGAGGGAGCCGCTTGAGCAACAGCAGGGAGGCAGGAGAGGGGACATGCATCTTCAGTCTCCTTGACAAAGCCCTGGGGAAGCCGTGGGAAGAGACTGGGAAGGTGTAGGGGCCGACTCTGGGCTGGAGGCGCAGGAGTGCATGGAAAGGATCAGCGGGGCTGGGACGTCCTAGCCCTCAGGTCAGTGGCAGGTTAGGAGCTGGGGCTGGGACTGGGTGGGCAGTCCCCCATGCCTGGCTCAGCTAACGACAGCACTGTGCCCACTGCAGGGAACCAGGTGATTTTTGAAGGCCCCGTCTTGGAGCGGGAGGAAGACCATGTCAGGAGGAACAAGAACACGTGCAAGGCCATGACCCTGTGTGTGTGCTATGCCGCCAGCATAGGGGGTACAGCCACCCTGACCGGGACGGGACCCAACGTGGTACTCCAGGGCCAGATGAGCGAGTGAGTCACTAGCCACACCCTCTGGGGACAACACAGTGGGCCCCAGGGCTAGAGGGACCTACTCCCCCCTCCCTCCTCAGCTGGGCCCTGGAGCTGGGGACAGCCAGGCCTGGTCTGGGAGCCCGGCAGGGTTGGGAAGATATGTCCCCATCCAGTCTCTGTGTCCCTGCAGCCCTGCACCCAGCGGGGGTGGGAAGCTGACGCCAGGGGAGCTGACATCAGCTTTCTGCCCTGGGCTCAGGGATTCAGCTCAGAGAAGGATGTGGGTTGAACTCTGAGCTAAAATCACGGGGATGACCCTGCAGTCCCAGATGCCGGGGTCCTTGGTAAAACTTAGAGAAAATAGACACCTGTAAAAGACACCCTCCCTTTGGCCCACCCACTTTGGTTGTTAATGGTGACGATCCCATGATATTGGGGTCTGCAGGTGCGCTGCTTATTGCTTTCCCGTTTTGTTCACGACAACCCCACTGATTGCTCCTGGGGTGACAGGTCCCCTTGCGAGGTCTGGAACTTTCCAGCTGTGGCCACCAGAGGCCACGAGGACCCCATTTCTGTGCCTGGGTAGGGCTGGGATTCCAGAGGGGGAGCAGCCTGGGGTCTGCCTCTGGGGTACTGTGGTCTGCCGAGGGCGGCGGAGGCCTGGACGGCTCCAGGCAGGTCTGGTGCATAAATGCACTAACTGAGGTGTGTACAAATTGCAGCGGCAGGAACAAAAATAAGGCGGGGCCCATGCTGTGCTGACAAGAGCCCCGGACAGGGGCGGGGAGTGCAGCTGGCACAGGAGCTGGGAGGAGAAAGGACAGGCCGGAGCCCAGCCGGGCAGACGCTTGAGGTTCACAGCCAGACTGTTTTGATCCTGGAAGTGTTTTCTATAATGATATCCTTACGGTCCTCCCTTACCTTTCTCCGGGAAGAGCAGCCTGTCTGGACTGAGTGGGCAAAACTCCGTGTCTGCTTTGACACCGTGGAGCTAAAGGGCGCAGCTCTGGGGGCTGGCAGAGGCCCAGGGTTGGGAGGGGAGCCTGAGGCAGAAGTGAGCTTTCTCCACCCCCCAGCCTGGGAAGCTTTTGCGATTTGCTTTGCTAACGGGGCCCTTCCCTTGCAGAAACCCACAGGGTGAGGGTTCTGAGGCACCGTGGACCTCCTGCACGTGCCGGCCACATTATGTGCATGTGTGTGTATTTTTCTGGGGGGATGGGCCGTACCTTCCACGAGATTCTTAGCAGAAAGGTTGGCTGGTCATTCCTCAGCCTTGTCTTGTGCTGCGGCCACATTCTGGGCACCCCCCTTGATTGGGGGCTAATGCCTGGCAGGGGACATGGGTGGCTGGATCTGGGGAGGACGTGGCCCCCATGTGCGAGGCCGGCCTGTGGCCCTGCACAGGCCCTGCACAGCTCCGGGTCTGAGCTGCGGTGTGGACCAGTGTCTTTTCTTCCAGGTTGTTTCCTGATAACAAAGACGTCGTGAACTTCGCCTCTTGGTTCGGGTTTGCCTTCCCCAACATGGTGATCATGCTGCTGTTTGCCTGGCTATGGCTCCTGTGTGTTTACATGAGATTCAGGTAAGTCTGAGCTGCTCCCGGAACAGAGAGTCTAATTACGCCACGCGCCTGCAGAAAAACCCTCAGACGTAGTAGGTGAGTCTGCAGAGTTCTCTGTGTCTGGCCTGACCATTTCTCCAGCCACGTCTCCCGCTAGTCTGCCCTCCTGCTCCGACCGCCCTGGGTGCCCGCTGTGCTGTGCCCTGCCATGCTGTTCCCTTTTCCTGGAACACCATGTCCTACCTTCCAGCCTTCCTACCTCCTCAGCCTTCAAGGCCAGTTCAAGTGCTGCCTCCCTGACTTTCCCCAACCCCATCCTGCCTCTGCGCTGCCCCTGGACACGTCACAGCCCTGTCCCATGGCACCTGCATTCATGTTCCAGTGCCTCCCCTCCCCTGACCGTGAGCACCTCCAGGGCCTCTCTGACCCCAGCGCTTGGCACAGCTACCAGCCCAGGGAGGGAGAGCCAGGTGGGTTCAAGTAGTTAAAGAGAACCTTGTCCCCATGTCCCAAATCCACACTGCTGGACAAACTTCCACCTGTCCACATGGGTCCATTAGGCCAGGTCCCAGCAAACCTGATGACATTCAAAGCAATCCAAACCCAGACCATTACCAAACGCCTGTGATGTTCCCAGCAGTGTGCGGGTCCTGGAAAGTTTACCTTCTTATTCCCAGCACAGTGACGAGGACATCAAGAGTCACCCTGAGCAGCAGCCAGACTTTGGTCAGAAACCATGACATGTGGCTGACAAATACCTTCAAAAAGTTGTTGTTATTTTAAAAGACACAGATTTCTCTGTGGTGCAAAGGTGATCGTGTCACACTGAGACAGAGCGTGCTTAGCTCTGAGCTAAGCAGGTATGCTCTGCCCCAATTCACGGGGAGCCCGAGCCAAGTAAAAACAAGGGAGTATGTGACCAGAGGGGAGAGACTGCAGAGCTGAGATGCAAAAGTGCCCACAGAAACCTGTGATTTAATGGGGAAAATGGAGCATTTTGCTAAGTTTTCTTCGGAAGGAAGAATTGTTTTAAAAACTGCTGTTAAAAATTTGCTATACACATCCAAAACGATCCCAATAATGACAGTAATAGCAGCAGGCATCCCCGACACCCCACCCCACCCCGCCCGTGTGCAGGCCCCTTGTGAAGGGGAAGCTGCCTCCATGGGTCTTTGTCTACACAGCGTGGCTTTGAGAGCAAGGTGAGACACTCCAAGAGGCCATGGAGGTGGGCAGGGGTCACCAGGGCCTAGGATGTGGCCTGGGCGGAGCATTGTTCCCAGCTTCCAAACTGAACATCAAAGCTGTCCTCTGCCTTCCAGATCTGGAACCAAAACGAGGCTCCCGTGAGCCACCCCTGTTGGGAAGGGGTGGGACTGTACTGCAGCCTTGCACCTCCACTGCTCCAATCTGTGCCAGGACCAAAGTCCTGCTTGTTCACTCACGTCCATCCAGCAGGCCAGTCTGGAACTGGCCCTGAACCTGCTGTGGGTGGGCATCTGCGTCTCCCCATGGGGCAATGGAAATGACAGTGACCAACATTTGTTGAGTGCTTATTATGTGTCAGACACCATTTTTAGCACTCTACATATATGAACTTCACTAATCTTCACAACGGCCTACTAGGTGTAGGTACTATTACCATTATTCCCAATTTACAGATAAAGCCATTGAGGCATAGAGAGGCTAAATGGTCCACACAGGGTTGCATAACTTGGACATAGTGGGGCTGAGATTTGCACCCAGGAGGTTTGGCTTCCACTACCTTACATCCCCTCTTGAGGAGGCCAAGGTTCGCTGCCTGGGCAGCCTTCAAATTAGGCATGAGCAGGTGTCAGTAGTGCCAGCGGGAGCCTGGGGGCCACCCTGGAACTTTAAGGCCTCCTGAGCGAGAGGAGGGAGCTAGCCCAGCACTGACACCAGAAGGGCACCATCAGCCTCCTGTCTGGCCGGAGGTGGATGCCAGGCCCCTGGGAACTCCCAGCCGAGAACCTGAAGCTGCGGTTCGCCCAGCCTGGCACGGCCTCCATCAGCTCTTGACCAGCACGGGGCCTGGACAGTGTCTGCCACACTGGGACCCCGGAGCCTGCTCGTGGTTGGGTGTATGGCTACAGTCCAGTCCCGTCCCTTCCTGACAGGGGTGGCCTGGTTTTGGTTCCAGATCTGAAAGGCAGAGGACAGCTTTTATGTTCAGTTTGAAAGTTGGGAACAATGCTTTGGCCCAGGCCACATCCTGCCACATACCAGGCCCTGGTGACCCTTGCCTGCCTCTTATGGTCTCTTGGAGCGTCTCACCTGAGGCCAGGGAGCTACCTGTCTCAGTTGCAGGAAGCGCCTCTACTATCACGTCTTGCTGAATTGAGTTCTCATCTAGATGATTGTGGGGAACAATGTCAAGGTGTTGGCTTCGAGCCTAATCTACAAAAACTGTATCTTACTGAGTTTATGGGCAGCCTCCTGGGCTTTATCTAGCCAAGGGGACCACAGACTCCCACCCAGGACCACCAATAACTATGCAGGACATTATTACCGGCTTATACCTGACTGTCCCAACCAGGCTAAGCCCCTGCAATAGGGATATGAGGGGTCTTCTGGACCCCTGCCATGGTAGAGACACTTGGGGACTCAAGGGTCCTGCCCCTCCTTGGCTCTGCAGTGTCTTCAGTCCAAGTCCACTGGGGTATGTCATAGTGAAGGTCATTCTGCTGCAGAAGGACACTGTGGTCCCCACCCCAACCAACCCCAGGGCTCTCACAGGCCGACTGGATCCATATGCCCACATCTCTTGCCAGCCTGGAAGTCACCAGATGAAATTAACCCAGGGATGAGAGGGAAACTGCTTAATGCAAGAGGGTCTTGAAGGCTTGGTGGCACCACTATCAAGGATTAGTCTCAGACGACTGCAAATTCCATGCAGCTCCAGAGTCTGCAGCCACTGTGCTGTCAGGATGTGTCACCAGCACCAAATGCTGGCTTGGGCTCTTATAACCCCTGCTGGGCAGCTGGGAATACCACCGTCTCTGCTTATCCTGGAAACCTGAAGCCCCGGGCCCAGCCCTGGTGTCTCTAGGATGACAGTGGCAGGAGATTGGTGCTTGGTAGAGCACAGACTTTACCAATCCAAGGCCATGAAAGCAAAAAGGCCCCCTCCCACACCAGCAGGGCTGTCCCCACAATCGATGATCTAGAGCTGTGGTCTCCAACCCCCGGCCTGTGGACCAGTACTGGTCGGTGGCCTGTTAGGAACTGGGCTGCACAGCAGGAGGTGAGCATGAGTGAGCGAAGCTTCGTCTGTATTCACAGCAGCTCCCCATCACTCGCCATCCCCAGTCCGTGGAAGAGTAGTCTTCCATGAAACTGGTCCCTGGTGCCAAAAAGGTTGGGGACCGCTGCTCTAGAGGGTAACCCTTGGGACACAGCCTTGCCCCTGTACAGCAGAGAGATCCTGCCGGCTATACAGACCTGAGATCCCATCACTGCACCTCCTTTCCCACCCCTGAGCAGTCCAAGAGGCTGTGTCCTGATACCCCCATGTCCCTGTGCCATGGCTCTTAGACTCTCAAAAGCAGTTCACGTCCAGCACAGGCTCCAGGAATCAGCACCTCTTCCATCAACCCCCGCCTTCCTTTGTCTTAGGGCCCCAGGACGTACTCTCACAAGGTGGGGCTCTCTGGGGCAATGGTTGTGGCCTGGCCCACCCTTCAGACTAACAGTGGCTGGAACTGGAAGGCACAAATGGAGTCCTCAGAGAATATCTCAGAGCCCACATCCCACACACTAGTGGCCCGGTTACCCCTTCCCACAGCCAAGCTACCCTCTACATCCTCCTCCTTCCTGCCCCCTCATGCCAGCACCACCCTCGAGGAGGCCCTGCAGGCACCCCTGGCAATGGGCATCGTCCCTAGGGGGCCCATCTAAGAGTAGAGCCTGGACTGGCTTCCTTCCTGCCCCAGCCACGCCTGCTGCTAAGCCCAGGGTCTCCTGAATCCCCAATCCTGTACCTCCAGCTCCCGGGAATGCAAGGACTCTTCCTGCTTCTGACTGGCATGGTCTGCTGGGTCCTGTCCTCGCTCCCTGTGTCCTCCTGAGCTGCCTCGGTGCTGGAGGCTGGCGTCCCAGTACCACCCAAGGCAGTTCCAGACCGAGGGGGGAGGAGGAAGACTTGGGGAGCATGAGAGGGAGCTCTGGTCCCACTTGAGAAGCCTCCAGACCTTCCTATGGCCTTCCCCCAGGTGACCCTGGAGCAGCTGGTCTCCAGGTGACTGGGCACCTGCCAAGACTCTCTAGCCTCTCAACAGAGACTTTTCCCCACTGTGTTCCGGGAGGCAGGGCAAGCAGATGAAGGAAGAATAGGAGGAAAGAGGGAGGAAGGGACTTGCTGTAGGTGAGAGGCAGCACCATGTGTCTTTCTGGCGCATTCTGCCATGCAACATCCAGGCTCTGTCCGATCAGCACCTGAGCCAACCAACCTGTCCTGCTGTTCTCTCACCTTTGCATTCTCTAGTTTTAAAACATCCTGGAGCTGCAAGCAGAAGCAGGACTATGAGAAGGCTGCCTACGGGGTGCTGAAGGAGGAGTACGGGAAGCTGGGGCCCATCTCCTTTGCGGAGGTCAACGTCCTCATCTGCTTCTTCCTGCTGGTCGTCCTGTGGTTTTCCCGAGCCCCTGGCTTCATGCCCGGCTGGCTGTCTATCGCCTGGGAGGAGGGCGAGACACAGTAAGTCTTTTGTTTGGGAGAATCCTCTGGCTTACTACACTGTGCCTAAATGCTGCTGTTCTTGGCTATGGGCTGCTAGAGGAACGTCCAGGGCTGGGCGCCGTGCTTGGCCAAGGTGCTTCTCTTTGGCTGTGGAGTTGGGTTTCAGAGAGCACTCTGTTGGCTTCACGATGCATTTGTTTTTTCCTGACAGGTCTTCATGGTAAGACTGCAGGTGTGTTTTCGTGGCACCCTCTCCTCCCCCAACAGGTTGAGCAGAAATTATCTGGCCAGGCAGGATGGCCAGAGCCGTGATAAAGATTTGCTAGGAGTAGGGCTTCTAGAACTCTGTTTCTCCAACCTCTGCTCTGCCGTCTTCCCTCTCATATCTTCCTTCAGATCTAGTCAAGTCCCTCCCAAGATACACATCTGGGGCTCCAGAAGCTTCTTAGACAGAAACTTGGCAAAAGGGGGTATATGTAGTTTCCCTCCTGGCTAGGATGCTGTCAGAATGGAAGTAAAGTGGAGAACAGGTATTTTCTAGAAACAGCAGAAGACGTGGGTGGGAAGATGCAGCCTGTGACTGGCTATTCCATGTTGAGAGTCTGCTTGGGTCAGCACCAAAGTCCTTGTGGTCACCCCGGTGAACCCAGAGTCCTAGGGAACCTGGCTGAGAAGGGGGTCACGAAGTTTACCTGTGGAGCAGCACAGGCCGGGAAGGTATGCTGCTCAAGGTCACCCAAGGTTGGTGGCCAAGAGCGTAGGCATCTTGGTTTCCAGGCAGGACTCTGTCTACCATATCACTCTTGATCTTGGCTTTGGGGGCTCCAGTTTTCATACCCAGTTGTTTCTTCACGTAGGAGCATTTAGACACTAAATTGCTAGAGTGAGCACAGGTTTGTTGAATGACTGTCTCTGCAGCAGTGGGGCTGGGCTGAAGTCCTGTGTGTTCTTCCCCACCTAGGTACATCTCTGATGCCACTGTGGCCATCTTTGTGGCCACTTTGCTATTCATTGTGCCTTCTCAGAAGCCCAAGTTCAACTTCTGCAGCCAGACTGAGGAAGGTAAGGCTTCTCCCAGTCATCAGGATTGGGGCCCTGGAAGCGAAGGTTCTCTGCGCAACTCCCCAAGCCCAGGAGGGAGAAATCCCCCTCCTATTGAAGAGAACTGGCTACATTACAACAGCCTGGGAGACGGTTAATGGTTTTCAAGCCAATGGTGGTATTATTTAGTGCAAAAATATCTTCTATTTTGCTTCTTAAACTTTGAAATCTTATTTATATTTCAACAGGAACAGAACATGTTTCAAATTTCCCATAATGCTATAAGTTTTTAAAATTTTCTCTCTTCCTCCCTGTCTTTGTTAATATGCATGTATATTATACGATTATAATCAAAACACACACAGTTTGGATCTTATTTCTTTGCAGTTTTGGGTTTTTTTGTTTTTGCTTCAGATTATACGATAAACATGTCCTACTATTGCTACAGTCTTCAAATATATTTTCTCCAATAATGGCATTATATTGCACTAAGGAGCTATAACCATGTTCCTGTTATGGAACATTTTGGCTGTTTTTGCATTTTTCATTATGATCAATTAATGTTTTCTTGTACATAGCTTTTCTTTTGAGGGTATTTCTTCCCAGGGTAAATTTCTAGAAGTGATATTGCTGCAGTAAAAGAATATACGTGTCTTAATGACTCCTAAAATGTATGTCCAGATAGCTTTTTAAAAAGGTTGTACCAATTTATAATGCTATCAGCAGTGTGTGTAATAGTTTTACCACACCCTCACCAGCAATGTGCATGAACATTATTGTAAATTTTAGTTAATTTACGGGCATGAGATGGTACCTCACTGTCCTATTGGCTTTGTGCCGTCTTGTTTTCTAATGCTGCTATGGTGTGTGTGTGTGTGTGTGTGTGTGTGTGTGTGTGTGCGTGCATGTGTGTTTATTTTTTCTTCTCAGAAAGGAAAGCTCCATTTTATCCTCCTGCACTACTAAATTGGAAGGTGACCCAGGAGAAGATGCCCTGGGGCATTGTGCTGCTGCTGGGAGGTGGATTTGCTGTCGCTAAAGGATGTGAGGTAAGCTCTCCAGCCATAGGCTGCCTGGGGCCCCCTTCTCCCACCAAGAGGGTGGCCAAAGAGCTCCAGTCCTCCATCCCTGGGCTTGTGTGTTTCTGTCTCTGCCTCCTCCATATAACTGCATGTTCCTTGAGGGCAGCGACTCTGCCTTGTCATCTGGGAACCCTGCGCCACGACTAGGTCCTGGAAGACAGAAAGTACTCTGAGTAAATGAGTGACCCCGGTTAGCCAAGAAAGGCAGGGTACACAGCGAGGTCCCTTTTGGGCTTTGGTGATAATGATCTCTGCTTTGATTTATGCTAGGGAAATCTTTCTCTCCACGTATTGTCAATATTTTTGCTACTACCTTTGATCTCCTACTTCCTGAACTCTTTGTTGACATGGTCACTATTTTGAAATCTTTCTCTAGCTAAATATGTAGCAGCAGAGGAGGAGAGAAACATTTTGGAAAATAGCCAAAAAATGTAACATTCTCTACTTTCCCCTCTTCCCTCCTGGGGAAGAAATGAGCCAGCTTGGTGCTGCCGTCCTCCAGCCAACTATCCATCCTCATCCTCCCACCCACCCAGGGATAGAATAGACAGAGTTATTGCTGTTTCCTCAATACCCTAGGACAGAGCCTGGTGCATAGTGGGTGGAAAATTTTCTCTTTTTCTTTTTTTTTTTTTGTTCTGGAGTCAGAGTCTTGCTCTGTCGCCCAGGTCAGAGTGCAGTGGTGTCAGCCTAGCTCACAGCACAACAACCTCGAATTGCTTGGCTCAGGTGATCCTCCTGCCTCAGCCTCTCAGGCAGCTGAGACTATAGGCACATGCCACCACGCCCAGATACTTTTTCTATTTTTTATAGAGACATGCTTTTGCTCAGGCTGGTCTCAAACTCTTGGCCTCAAGTGATCCTCCTGCCTCAGCCTCCCAGAGTGCTAGGATTATAGGCATAAGACACTGCGTTCAGCACAAGATATTTTTTGAATGAGCAAATCCATCCCTCCGGTCACCTCTCCACCCTGTCATCTATCCATCCGTCCATCCATACATACATCCATTCTTCTCTTCATCCATCCCACATTCCTATTATGTTTCTAGTGTTAGGCCAGGCACTGAGATTTCAGAGGAGATTGGGACATGGTCCCTGTTCTTGAGGACTTCGCAGACCAGGGAGGGGCACATATGTGGAAGGGCATTTTAGGAAATGACCCACAAGCAAGGGAAAAGGCAGGGGGCACGTAGCTTAGGAGCAGGAGAGGGTGAGGCTGGTAAGGCTAGCAGAAGGCGCTTCTCCGAGGGCCTTGGATTCATGATGGGGGTGTGGACTGATGGTGAAGGCAGTGGAGAGTCACCGAAGTGCTGAGGCCAGGGAGTGACATGGCAGGTCTGCACATGAGAAAATTCACTCTGCTGTCAGGGCAGGCAGGGGTTGGAGGAGAGCTAGTTTAGGCTCTGTGGTCTGTACCTAACTCAGACTCCAGGGACCATTCCCTCCTTTGGCCCCCAAGACACCACTTTCTCCTGTTTTCCTTCTAACTTTGACTGTTCCTGCTCAGCTTCTATTGCCAACATTTCCTCGGTTCTCCCTTAAATAGGAGTGTTCTTCAGGGCTCTGTCCTTGGCCTCTTCTCTGTTACTCTTCATTCTCTCCCTGGACAATCTCTTCTCAGCTCAAAGCCCCAAATCTAAATCCCCAATTTCTGGCCCAGATCTTCTGAGCTTCGAACTCTGTGAGGCCTGAGAGGAGAAGAATGTGAGATGTTTTGGGCGACTTGGTGGCTGATGGGGTATAAGGAAGGAGGGGAACAGGGACCCCATAGGATGACTCCAGCCCTCTGGTTTGCCCAAATTGGGGAGCCCAGAGGGAGAAGAAGATTCTGGGCTAAAGAGGATGAATTCAAGTTGGGGCACATTGAGTCTGTTGTGCTTATGGAACGTTCAGGTGGAAATATCTAGAAGGCACGTGGGTGTTTAAATCCAGGTAATAGAACAGCTGGACTGGAAAAACAGATGTAGGAGGCGGCAGAGTGAGGATGGAGGTTAAAGTTGTGGGGATGGATGAGGTCACCTGTGGAAGAGTGCAGAGAGAGGGGAGGAGGGGCCAAGCAGCCCCAGCCCTGGAGGAGCCGGGAGCCGGGATCCCTGAGGTGACTGCCCTCCTGCTGCTTCCCAGGCCTCGGGGCTGTCTGATTGGATAGGGAAGCAGATGGAGCCCTTGCAGGTCGTGTCCCCGGCCGCCATCACCATCCTCTCCTCCTTGCTGGTTGCTGTGTTCACTGAGTGCACGAGCAACGTGGCCACCACCACCCTGTTCCTGCCCATCTATGCCTCCATGGTAAGTCACCCTGGTGTCAGGGTGGTGTGGGGGCTTGGGCCTCATTTCATAGGAAGCCGTCAACACATGACCATGTTCTAGGTCCCTAGAAAGGCAGTGAAACTGGGGCCAGAGCCCGACCAGGCTTTGTGGCCTGGGTCTGGCCCTGTTGTGGATCTGGGTCCCTGGCCACCCTGCTCCCCGGGCCCTTGCTGCCTTGCCAGTTCCTCTTCGTGTCCGCCACACTGATCAAAGCACCAGACGTGGACCAGGTGCTCCAAAATGTATTTCATAAATCCGACTGGATTGTTTTTTAAGCTTAAGGGACAGCACTTGGGCCAAGGAAGAGTGGCCAGTGCTGTGGCCTTTTGGTTCACAGCACAGGGGTGCAGGACTGCAGAGCAAGGGGAGCACCAGGGCTGGGCCCCAGCAGGGAGAGGCCTTGGGGGAGGTGGGGCTTGGGAACGGGCGGGCGAGGAGAGGACACTCTGGGAACACGGAGCCGCCGGGTGAAGGCAATGGCGGGCACGGCGGAGGACTCTGGGATCCCTGCTGGATGAACCCAGGGCAAGGGATCAGTGGTGGCTGAGGCCCGAGAGGTGGCTGGTGGGTGCCAGGCTAACATGTCCTGTTCTACGGGCAAGCATGTTTTTGAGTCACTGATTGAGAAGAAAGCAGAGCTTATAGGAAAATCAGTGGGGATCGTTTCTTGCATTTCCTTCTGTCATTCATGGCAAAGCAGTGCCAGCCTCAGGTGCTGTGGAAAGAGCCCTGGGCTTGCAGTCAGAAGACCCGAGTTCAATGTGGGATCCCCGAACGTGTCTCTGAAGTTCCTTCCTCCCAGATTGCGCTGAGGGTCAAGTAAGACGGGAGCTATGGAAAGCCTCTGTAGACTGCTATGCTCAGGAAATGAGCATAGGCGAGGCCGCGGTCATTCTGGAGCCGGGAGACAGACTTACATAGGGCCTGAACATGGGATCGAAGTTGGTAAATTTCCATTCGGCTGCCTGGGTGTCCACGTGTATAAAAAGCAAAGCTAAGTGGGTTTTTTTTCCCCTTCCATTCCAAGCAAAGATGAAAGTGTTAAAAATAGCAGGGTGGCTCGTCTCCTCCTCCTCCCCTAAACAGGGCGACCGGATGGATGCTGAGGGAGAGGAGCACCCTCTGCCACCGGGCATGCGGTGCTGGTGACCCCCCCTCCCCAGCAGAGGTCCTGGCTTTGTCATCTCCAGCCCCAACCGCTAGCAGCTGGGATCCCAACCAGACAAATGCAGGCCTCAAACCCAGGGGGTGGCCAGGCCCTTTGGAAACAAGTTTTCCTAGAACCAGAAGCTCCAAGCAGGATGTCCCCCAGCTACCTCCAGGGCCCTCACACTCCGACCTCAGCACCCACCTGTGAGAAAGGGAAAGGCCGTGGTCACCGGCTGGGTCGCACGGGAACGTGGGGTGCACACACCGTAGGGCACCCAAAGCCAGGAACAGCCTGGGCCCCTCCTGGGACCTCTCAGGCACTCCCAGAGGGAGCGTAACTTGGTGCAGCATTTTCGGGGGGGCTGTTTACCAACAGGAACTGGAACCTGAAACCTGCTCATACCCTTTGACTCTGCCATTTCACGTCTGGGAATATATCTTAGAAAATAATCAGAGGTGCCTAGAGGCATATATTATGGTGACGTAAGACAGAATCATTTATTCTAAAAATAATATCCATAGTAGTAGGGGGGTTGGTGAAATAAATTATCATATGTCCGGATAATGTAATACTATCAGGCATTAAAAATCACAGTTTTAAAGAGTAATAAAGTAGGAAGATGTTCATGACATATTTTTTTAAGTTGAAAATGTAATATATATATATTCCTTAAATGTGTCTAATAATGCAAAGAAGTGTACAGACTCCTAACCCTCTAGCTTCCCTAGAGATGACTCTGTTATTAATTTCTTAGGTGTTTTTCTGGATATATCACACACACACACACACACACGTATTCTTTTTAAAGAAACGGTATCATTCTATGGTCCTATTACACATCTTAATTAAAAATATTTAATCATAGGTCTTCAAGATCTTTCCATATTAGCACATAAAGCCTACCCAATTCTTCATAGCTGCATGCTTTCCCGTTGTTTATGTATATCATACTGTATTTAACCATCCTGCTATCAATGGCCATTGAGTCTGCTTCCTGTGTTTTGCTGTTACATTGTTGCAGTGAACACGTTTTCATATGTGTCTGCCCTTATGTAAATCTGCACCATAAGTGAATAACTTTAGATTTTACAAATTATATCATCCATTCATTCCTTCAACAAATACGTAACGAGTGCCTACTCTCTGCTAGGTGCTATTAGATGTGGCTGCATCTTAAAATGTAGAATAAAAAAGGTGGTTACCAAATTCCATATGCAAAATGATCCCAGATGTGTATAAAGCCGCATACATCCATAGGTAAGTGAGAGGATGTGCATCTCGGCTATAAAACTGAGCGCAGTCTAAGTGCTCAGCACAGTCTCCGGCACATAGTAGGTGCTCAAGAAATGTATGTTGAGTGAATTGAAGGGGTTCAGAAAGGCCTCCTAGGGGAAGTGGGCTCTGAGCTCGGCCTTCAGTGTTCAGCAGAGCCATCAGCCAGAGAGACGTGGCAACAGGTGGAAGAGCCAACAACACAGAGGCACAGAGGTTCGAACTCACAGGGTGCGCTCAGAATGCTTTTCCAGAACCGTGGCCCCGGGAGCTTTTGTGTTCTGTGCCGTGATGCTGCAGTGTGCTGTGTTTCTCCCCAGTCCCGATCCATTGGCCTCAACCCGCTGTACGTCATGCTGCCCTGTACCCTGAGTTCGTCCTTTGCCTTCATGTTGCCCGTGGCCACCCCACCGAATGCCATCGTGTTCACCTACGGACACCTCAAGGTTACTGACATGGTAACACAGCTGTTTTCCTTTACTTCCTCTCAGACTCTAATGCTGTTCTTTGTCATAAAAGATGCCCCATTTGTGAATGTGTGGGTTTCACAGTGACGGCGTGGGGTTTGGGATATCAGTGAACATCCAGACCCACAGATGTCATGTACATTTACAATGCAGCTTTTCTCCTCTTTGGAAATGACCTCAAACGTCACAGACTGTCCTGTTCCCCCCCCCCCCCCTCCCGAGAAGGCTGTGCAGGCACCAGGGGAGCCCCGGCTAAGCGCTGGGAAGGGGTGGGGGCTGGGGGCTCACATGGCCGAGGAGGGACTTCACAAACTAGCAAGAACCCATGAGAGCAGTCAGGCGGGGCAGGCTTAGACTCAGGGAGGAAGGCTACTGACAGGCAGAGAGATTTGTAGAGGCGTAAGAAGAGGTAGAAGCAAGGAGGGGTAGAGAGACGACTGCTTGGGAATGGATAATTCCCTGGAAACAAATGCAGCCAAAGGAAGGACTCTTCGTGCCCGGCTTGGCTTCATTCCCTCTGGTGGGAGAAGGAGGGCAGATTTCCAGCTCTGGGATGGGGAAGGGGCAAGTGTGTGAGTCCCCGAGGCAGAAATGAAGGTCCCTACCCTGGACCAGTCAGGTGTTGGTTATCTCCGAGTGTCCGCTGGGTATCTTCGGGACTCCATGGGGCATTTTCTCTACAAGGGTGGATCCCGGAAGCCATGCATTGCTCCGTCACTGCTCATGTCACCCCTGTGAGGTCATTTTCCAAATGCTAAGACGGGCACGGGGAACCCATCTATCCTGCCTCCCTCCCGGGGTGCTTTGCGCACTGATGATGCCCGGTGGACAGGAGGCTGCTTTGTCTTGGGTGGGAGGAGCACAGAGTGTGGCCTGGGGACATTGAGGCCCAGGAAACTTAGGCCTTTGTCCTCCTCTCTGAGAAGACGAGTTCCCAGCATCCCCTGCGCCCTTGTCCTGACAGCCCGGCAGACCTGAGGGCGCTGACGCTGACTCTGTTTTTCTTCCAGGTGAAAACAGGATTCATGTTGAATATAGTTGGAGTCTTCTGTGTGTTTCTGGCGGTCAACACCTGGGGGCGGGCCATATTTGACTTGGATCATTTCCCCGACTGGGCCAACGTGACATACACTGAGACTTAGGAAGAGCCACAAGACCATGCACACGGCCCGCTCTCCTGAGGACCACCGAACCTTCTGCACACCTTGCACAGAGTTTTGGGGATCGCACCCCAAAGTGACTCGAGGATGCCCACACCCCACCAAGTCCCGGCCAGTGGGCCACCTCTTTTCTTCCTCCAGGCCTGGACTCAGAGATGGGGATGGGCGGCCGGAGGGCAGGCTCAGAACTGAAGGGAGCCCTTCAAGCGGCTGCTGGTCCCCATGTTTCCTGGGGCCCTGCCGTCTTCTCTGGGGTGATGGGCAGCAGAGGGGCTGGGACACCGGCTCCTGTTCTCACTCGGCCTCGAGCCTCCACCATGCTGTCCCCACCCTGGGCTCTGGTTTTCACTTGCTTAGTCCTGGGTAGTTTAAATGGGAACAGCGCCCCAGGTTGGAAGCTGAGAAAACAAGCTACCCTTGCCTGTGCCTCTTCGGGCTCCCCTTGGGCCTCCTAAGATCATCTCTGTCCCTCTGAAGGGGCCACCCCAGCCAGGGGCAGGATGCTGGCCTTGGGCAGCTGCCACCACTGGAGTGAGAGTGGGGATCGGAGCCTCTCAGAACTCCTTGTGCGGCCACCACCAAAGGAGGAGGAGTTTGAGTTGCTAACATCAAGGTGACACATGGCTTCCCTCCCGCAGCGCACCGCTGGCCAGCCTGCTCCCCTCCTCGCCTTGCTCCATTCTAACTGACAGCTCGCCGGTGAGCTTCCGGCAGCTCCGAGCTTCCCTGTGCCAGGGGGCCGACATTTGCTGAGATGCCCCAGGCTGGGGCCCTCTGGCCTCCCCCTCCTCTCAGGGCGGGCGGGTGTGGCTCTTCTGCCACATGCTTTCCCTGCCTCCCTACACGGCAGGGGTCACACTCCAAGTATGGGCAGAGATGGCACTTTGGGGGCCACAGTGGGGTTTCTAGGTCCTCTTTTACCTGCAGGCCCAGGCTAGACAACTGCTAATGCCCAATAGCTGAGTCGCTTCAGAGTTTGCTTGTCACGCCAGAGCTGGAGCTCCTCTGGGAAAGTCCTCCCTTTGTGACTGGCCTTCACAGCCAGGCCTGGTGTCAACAGAGTGTCACCGAGATGAGCAGCACCCAGTGCTCCCTGAGCACACAGCCCCTGTCTGTGAGCGACCCGCGTGACGTTACTGCGGCAGAGAGCCCCGGAGGGAGACAACGACTCCGGAGTGGCCGTGGAGACCCTCAGAACCCCCTGTGAGAGAGACATGAGAAACGACCACCCTCTTGCCCCCAACCCCATTTTCCTTCCTTCTGGTGCTGCTCTGGAAGAGGCAGTGGCGGCAGACGGATGAGGCCCGTGGGTGGCGTTTTTCAGGGCAGGAGGAAGTATGGGAACCCCACCGAAGACCAAGTGTCCATCTGGTTCCTTGGGTGGAATAATTCCTGACCACACTGTCGAGATCATGCTCTCATTAAATGCTCCGTCTCCCATGGAAAGTTCCACTGTGCCGACTCATCTCCGGTTTTCTACCGTGCATGTTGGGGTGTACGGGGGGGGAGGTAAAGGAATGCTCACTACCCACCGCCTGGGTGCCAGGCCTCCTTGGACCTGGTGAACCCACTAGTTATCTCATTCAGTCTTTGCAGCAACCCTGTAAGATAGGCAGGTGTTACTGTTCTTGTTTGTCTTTCAAGAAAACTGAGGCTCAGAGAGGCCAAGTGAAGTGTCCTGAGTCATACGAGTGAGTGGCAGTTACGGCTCCAACCCAGATTTTCTGACTCCTGCCCACTGTGCCTTTCGTCTAGACGTGAAGGGCCTTGGCCTCATGGGGCTTGTAGGGAAAGCTGAACGGCCAAGAGCAAGTCCACGACAAGGTCCCACCTGCTCAGGGAAGATCACCAAACATGAGTCCCTTTCTGTTGCCTCCCGAGTTGGGCTCAGGGCAGGCTTGAGTCCGACAGGGGTGGTCCTTGCCCTAAGAAGCGAAGAGTTTGGTTGGGGAGGGCAGTAAGGAAAAGGAAGAACCGACGGCTTCCTTCTTGCCCATCCCTCCACCCCTGCCCTCCATACCGCTGCTATTGACTGCTCTGCCCCACCAGACCGAGGGCTTTCACTGCCTCTTGGGTCTAGTGCCAGCACTACGGCTGATCTGGAGCAGGCCGCAGTAAGTGTGGTTGATAAATTAATGATTGATCAGTGTGGCCAATTGGGTGCATGCTTGGTGGTAGAGAGCAAGGTCGGTGAAGGTCATCCCAGGTGGGCACTGAGGGATGAGTAGGACGGCCAGGCGTGATGGGGGAGGCTTTGGTGGGGTGGGTGGAGGACTCTACCCGACACCCTCTGGTTGAGGGCTGACCAAAAACTGGGTGGAGAGCTTCAGGACAGCAGGACTCCCAGCTACGGAGGCTGCTTCTGAACAACTTCTCTTAGATTCAGTCGGCTGGAGTTACACCAAGATTTATGGCCTTTGCCAATTAGGAATGCTTTTGACTGCAAATACAAGAAAGCTCAGCGAACAGTGGCTTAAACCAGGAGGCCATTTGATGTTTACTTAGCGGGAAGTCTGGAGGCAGGTGGTCACTGGCATTGGGCTCAGCAGCTCATTTTGGCCACAAGGACTTGGGCTCCATAGTCCACTTGGTCATCTTCAGGGTATCACAGCTTTACCCCCAAGCTTCACTCTTAGGCTCATACACAGGTTCCTTCAAGGCAGGGAGAAAAGGGGATGGGGGTAGGGCCATGATGGTGCCTAACTGCATCTTTCGCTTTGATTAGGAAAATAAAAGCTGCCCCAGAGGCCCCATACAGACTTTTCTTTTTGCCTTACTGGCCAGAACTGAGTCGCAAGCCCACCCTCAGACCAGTCACCGGCAAAGGGGAACTGGAATACCACGAGACCAATCAACGTTCATCTCTTAGGGATGGCCTATGTTGGGGAACTGGCCTGTGTTTCCTGAAATCAGGAGATTTCCACCCAGCACAAGTAAGGGCTCTGGCTGGGGAAAAGGCAGGGGAGCTGTGGAGTGGATGGCAAGTGTCTGGCACGATCACTCCAGGAGACTTGAGTGGCTCCCTTTCCAGGAATTCAGTAGAAACATGTTGCAAGCTAGGAAGAGAGGAGGGGGTTGTCTGGTCACGAGCTTCAGTGAAGCCTGCACTTCCGAAAGGCCAGGGGGGACCCAGTGGACTGGGAGGCTGGAGCCAGAGCCAGGGATGGAGCTCAGTCCTGACATCTACACCAAACAAGTTATTCTACACTCCGCACCCCAGTTCCCGGCATGAAAGGGCTGGGCTAGAGGGTCTCGAAGGGCCTCTCCCCAGAGTCATGGGTCCCCTCACCCCATCTGACCCTCCCTCTGCTTGGGCCAGCTGCAGCCCCCGCCACATCTCCCATGCTGTTCAGCTTGTAGCCTGTCCCCAGGGCCACTCCCTGCTTCCATCTGGCTTTTGGCCACTTGCTGAAGGCTGTCTCAAGCCTTCCTCCCACCTGTATTTTGCCTCTTGCATTTTTCAAAGAGCTTCTACCCCAGACCCTTGAGGACTCTCTTCTTAGTGCCTAGATCAGACTTTTGGGCCGAAGCTTAGCTGAACACACAATTCTGACCAAGACTGCACTTTTAACTCTTTTGCCAGGGACTTAAGACTCCACAAGGATTCTTTGCATTCCAAAGGTCAAGCCCCTAGATTCCTTAACCTCTGGTCCCTGGATTAGGGGCTCTTGAGGGCAGGCCACAGGGCTCCTTCTCCCCGGCCGAGAGCTTCCCTGGAGAAGAAACTGGGGCTCCCCATTTGGCAGAGCCAGTGAGTGGGGCATCTACCAGGGACAGGGGAGGACTTCTCTGCTCCTCCCCGTCGCCTGCCTACTAACAAAAATAATGGGTAGTGAGGTTTTTCCTCTGGACTGCAAGCAGGATATCAGCTCACCAGCACAGAGTCCAATCCTTGACCCGAGTAAGGATGTCCTTGGGCAAGACCCTTGATGGCGTTTTCTTGTTTGTGGAAACAAAGGCCAAATGCTGAGTTGTCAGGTTAGAAACTATACCTGGAAGTCCCGTTCTTAGCTCAGAGTCCTGTTGTCAGCTACTCTCTCCCCTAGTCCCAAGGCCTCTTAAAAACCTTTTTCTTAAATCTCTTCACACTTAAAAAAAAAAAAAGTTTCAAGGTACACCTTCCACATCATGGGATGGGCTCTTATATCATACAAGTAGAAGTTTTTGTCATTTCTGGCAGAAACCTTTGTAATCAGATTTCAGTTTATTTTACTTGGTGTCCTGTGCCAGGACGTGGCTATACTCCCTTCCTTGCCCCGGGAACATGTTCTAGGTGCTTCCCTGACCTGCTTGTCCAAATGCCCACCTCTACCTGCAGAGCCACAGGCCACCTATGCCTGCCAGTGGTGTCCCTGCTTCCAGGTTTCAAGGGCAGAGAAATATTAAAGTGCAATCCCGGAACACCCCGTTATCCAGTCAAGGAATTTTAACTCGTTTTTTAATGGTAAAAAATTAATATGAATACAGTAAAAGAAATTCTGATAGCACAAAAAATACTGAAACATGTCCCTCCCACCTCAGACTTTGAGTCTACAGACCCCACCTAGGAAGCATCCATTGTCAATAGTTTCTTATGTAGTATAGAAACATTATATAGACACAATATTGTGTAATAGTACATATCCCCTTTATTACATATATGTAAGAGCATACTATACATGTTTTCTGTTCGTGTTTCAACTCCCTACACACATACCTTGCATAAAAATTTATTTGGAGATCATTCTATTTCAGGATGTATTAAGTTTAGCTAGTTTTTTTTCCCCACCCAGTAATTAATTTTGTTTTTAAGTTGAGGTAAAGTTAAATTTAGCTAATTGCACAGATCTTAAATATACAATTCAATGATTTTGACAAATGTATACACCATGTAATCAACACCCCAATTCCATCGCCCTGCCCCCCAAAAGTTCTCTCCACCCCTTCCAGTAATCTGAATTTCCTGTAGGCAGCCACATTGATTTCTATCACCATAGATTGATTTTGTCTGTTAAACTTCATATAAATGGAATCATATAGTATGTACTCTTATGCCTGATTTTACCAAAATACTTTTGAAATTCTTTCCTTTTGTTGTGTGCACCTGTTCATTCCTTTTATTGTTGTTGCTAAGCAGTGTTCATTGCACGAATATACCACAATTTGCCGATTCTCCGGTTGGTGGACATTTGGGCTGTTCCATTTGGGGTTGTAATGAATAAAGCTGTTATAAACATCTCTGTACAAGTCTAGTTTGTGGGCATATGTTTTTGTTTCTCTTGGATGTGTGCCTGAGGATGAGCCTAAGTCTTTTTTTAAAGCTGCATAGTATTCCATTGTAAGCATGTACTGCAGAACAAACAAATTCCCTAGTGATGGGTGTTTGGGTGTTTCCAGTGTATTTGCTAATGCTGTAATAAACACATCTGTACATGCATCTCTGTATGCTATGTGAGGAGAATACTTTCCTAGAATGTCATGCTTCATCAAAGGACATGTGTTTAAATCTGGGACAGATATTGCCAAAATTGCTTTCCGAGAGGCCGTGCCAACATACATTTTCAAAAACTGTGCATGACTTGCTCTCACAGACCCTTAGCAACTCTGTGTGTGATCACACTTCTCAATCTTTGCTAACCTGATGGTCGAAAAGTGCTACCTCATGGCTTTCAATTGCATTTCTTTAAATTGTAATATGGAACATTTTTTCTCCTGTTTATAATCCATTTGTGTATCTTTTTCTGTGAACTCCCTGTCTTTCTGCACATTTTTCTGAGATTTTTTTTTAAAAAAGGCTTTTTCTTATTCATTTGTAAGAGCTCTTTATATATTAAGAAATGAGTCATTTGTCATATGAATTTTTATAATACATATTAAGACCTGCTGAGGCTAGCTACTTGTATTCTTCTTTTTCATTTTTTTTTTCCCTCTAGCTAGTCTAACATATTTTTCCATAAGAATTTCTGAATTAGCTTTTTCAGTTCCAAAAAGTTCTGGCTGGCATATACCTCCCCAGCAATCCTCCCCATTACTCTTCCCCTTGCTCACTCCAGGGGTTGCTGAGCCCAGCACTGCTGAGTTTTCGGATGGAACAATTCTTTGTTGTAAGGGGCCCGCTCTGTGCACTGCAGGGTATCGAGCAGCAACCTGGCTTCTACTAGTCGTGACAAGGAAGAATGCCACCAGACGGGGCCAGACGTCCCTGGAGGGCAAAGTGCCCAAGGCTGAGAACCGCTGACTCATTCTGATCCGGTGCACCGGCCTCCCCGCTGTCCCGAGCATGCAAGGCCTCCCCCTGCGCCCTCCCTGCCTTCCATCTTTGCCTAAATGTTACTGCCAGCCTATTCGAAACAGGCTCCCCCATCTGCCCCACACTCTCTGCAATGTCCTGGGCTTTTCTCTATCGCACTTTTCACCTTCTGACATACTAGGTAATTTACTTCTTTATTTTGTCTTTCTCTCCCCTGTCTG